CACACACAACCCACAGTTCCCCTATTCGCTCCGACGAAGGGCTTACGCTCGAAACTTCAGCTTTTATAATCGTAACGGTGGCCAATTTATCATTTCAACTTTGTTGATATATTCAAATTATTTCGTTACCCCCACCGACGCAGCCCCAAGCAGTTTCTTTAGAAACTATCAGCCTTTAGTCTCTAAAAGCAGTCCGGTGAAATTCGGTCGACCAAATAGACCTTTCTAGTGGCAGTCATGTTTCCCATTACTTTCGTGATTCAGAAGCCAGTTGTCTCAATATTTTAGTTTTTTGCCACATTGAACTTTTTTGTGTATAGTTTCAAGTTATAAACCCAAATGGACTGGTGATGAATTACTTAAGCCTGAAAGGTGTCAATTGTCTAACTCATCGGCGCTGTACGCGTTTTTTTTTGGGTAAAACTTGTTCACATGAAAACATGAAGACCGTATTAATTAGCAATTCTTATTCCATTGAGAGGTATTCAAACTCATCACACTCGATTCTATGTTTCATTATCTCATCTGCTTCTTATTTTTCCCCTTTTTCATTTCTTTTAGTTATCTTTATGTTGGCACCAAATTCACTCGTATTTACAACTGTATCACTAGTAGTGTTCAAGATTTATTTTTAGTATTTTTAGAAGCAAGCATTGTGGCAAAGTTCAAGATAAATGATGCATTAATAATTGTATTTTGAGTGATATATCTGTTAAAAAAAATTAAATTAAAATAAAAAGAGACGGGTCGATCCTTTTAAGACTAAAAATGATCGGGAAGAAAGAACTGCAGAAAAATAAAAAGATTGAGCCACTAATAGTTATGTTCGTTGCTCCAAGCATGTGTCTTCTTTACCGGGTGGGTTGCATTGGCAGTGGGGCTCAACCACTACGTCGAAACCAGCCCTTTTTAATACGGCTTTTATCACCGCAATTTCCTTATGAAGCGTACTTGGGAGGGTCACTTAAAGATAAGTCTTAAGAGTCAGGCCTAAAAATGAGATTAGAAAGGAGTGATTGGATTAACTCGTTATCCAAAAACAAAATCCAAACAAGATCTCCCCCCTTCCAAAAAAAAACAAACAAAAAAAAATTTACCTTGTTAAAAATGATCTTCCCGTGATAAGGAATAATGCAAATGTTCATTTTCTTTTCAGCAGTTATTCTTATTTTGATAATACAAGAAAGTGGTAAGAGGTTAATTCAAATTTAACATTTATGTACTTGATACTTAATTAGCAAAGGAACGAAAAGAAAATTTCCAAAGAAATTATTTTCAACTTAAGATCATTTTTAACGTTAATAATAATTGGTTGGCGAATGCCTGTTACTTCAATTGGATTTGGACTCTAAAATAACTTGAAAATAAAAATAACAAAATTAAAGAATGAGAACGCTCTTATCCTGATTTTCCTATATTCCACTCTTAAAACTTTAACCTATCTTTCAATGTTCCCTGCTGTGAGATAAAAATTTATGTGCTCATTGTTTGCTGTCAACTTTTTTCTATAATCAAGAGTTTTCGTCACCGTTATCGATAGTTTTGTTATCTTAGCATAACCTATGTATCTAATTGTAGGTATTTTTATTTATTCATTTATCTATTCATTCATTTATTTTATCTGTTTGTCAATCTTTTTTAAGAATGCCAAGATTCCTCTTTCAAAAAGTCCCGGTACTCATTTTCGAAATGAGGAGGAAAATGGAATGGAAACAAAGGTTCGTGCCTATA